ACACACACACACACACACACACACGTGCGCTTATATTCCCAGCCGCACAAACACCAATAGTCATTGGACTGACATTCAAAATAATGTTAATCTCGCACACATGACGATGAGCAAATAGCTCATATTTTTCCCCGTATGTAACTAGTATAATGAATACGTCCCCAGCACTTATCAGTTACATTGCTGACTCATCGTCGACGCCAACTCAACATCTGCTCCTTTGTTGAAGATTGCACCTCATACCTTCTTTATCATCATCATCATCATCATCATCATCATCATCATCATCATCATCATCATCATCATCATCATCTATTAATAATAATACATTTTAAAATCATCATCATAGAATCATAGTAATAGTAATAATAATAATGATAATAATAAAGGTGTGGCAGACGGAAATTGATCTGCTGATAATGTAGGTGACAATGTGGATATATCGTGTGATATGTATATAAATATTAAAAAAAAAAAAATATATATGATGTTCTGCTACCTCCGTTGAATTGGGTTCAGGACTTCATATAATTTCAAAATAAAGGCCTGTGTGGCCTCTACTCTTCAACTTCAACACTATAAAATATTATAACTTGGAAGGACGTGGCGAACACATATTATATTTGATCAACAGCAGACAAAAGGCTATTTTGCAGCACATATTATCAAACCATCAGATCAGAGGGAGGAGGGGGGGGGGGGGGGGGGGGCTCTTGTGGCATAGAGGTTAAGGTGTTCGCCTCTCTTTCAATAGGTCCCGGGTTCGAATCCGGACCTCGACGGGAAATTTTCTTCTCCAAATTGTCTCCTTTCACCTCCTTTCCTGCAATGTTCCATTGTCTGCTTTCGTCTCCATTTTCTGCCCCCTCCCCCTCCCCTGACACTTTTTGCAGCCTTTGTTCTACTAATCTACTGCTACTCCTTGGCTCCTTCTTACTGCTGTCTTTCAGCCACATCCCTGACCTTATGGTAGGTACGATCTGCAAGGGCGAAAAATCTCAGAGGTCCCGTGTGTAAGTTACTGTAAGTTGCGCGCGTTAAAGATCCCTTGGTGGTCCAAAATCGATACATGTAAAGGGTAGGCTTCGGCCCTCACCCGGATAAAATTCAAAATTTCCTACCAATTGAAAATGTTTGGTGTGTCCTGCGCGCTCCTAACAATATGACCTTATGTAACTGCGAGCGCCGTAAAACACTTGCTAAAAAAAATATTTAAAAAATAGTAAAAACCAGAAACTCAGTTTGTTGCATTTTTATTTCATGGTATGCATTTTTTGTTGCCTGCTTTTTTTGTTTCCGAGAAAGAAAAGTGAATGGGAAAATGAGTATGAATAACACAGTGATCCTTCTTACAGGGCCCAAAACAGCGCACCTTCAAGCCTTGTCGAATGATGCAGTCCCTAACGAGTTAAATTTTAATTCCAGAATATTTGGTCACCCCTCCTCCCCCTCTCTCTCCCTCCCTTCCTCCCTCCCCCCTCTCCCCCCCCCCTCTCTCTCTCTCTCTCTCTCTCTCTCTCTCTCTCTCTCTCTCTCTCTCTCTCCCTTTTCATAAAAGGATAATACATAGTATTAATAGGTAATCCGTCTGGGCTAGTACGAGGCTTATGGTACATAAAAGGAAAACTATACAAATCATTTGAGAACACTATACGATTTTGACATGACATTTATTTTGATAACCATTTGACAAATTGTATAGCACTTGTGTAATTTTACGACTCTGGCATTGCACGATAAAAAAGATACATACAGAACAAGCCCTAACCTGCCCCAGCGATTCAAACTTGGGTAAAAGTAAACTTGAGCCACGTGAGCCCTCCATTCTGAACCCACGTGACCTGCCATGCACACCCGTGATCTCCACGCTAAGTGAGGCCACAATATTATGGCCACTGCGGCGTCTTGGGAGAAAAAAAACTGTTAACTTATTCTAAATAAGAATGTGGGGTTGAAATTTACTTTAACCTAAACTTTCATACAGTCTTTATGTTAACGTTAGCGTAGTATGTAGTTATTTGAAAGACGAAATAATGGAGTGATTTAAAGTTTGAAGAGTGTACACATATCTTTCAAAGGGACTTCATAACACTTTACAGTAGGTTACATGTTTAATATCGTGGTATCTCGAGAGCTCTCGTGGCCTAGAGGTTAAGGTGTTCGCCTCTCATTCAAAGGTCCCGGGAACGAATCCGGGTAGCGACCGATACATTTTCTTCTCTAAGAATCGTCTCCTTTCACCTCCTTTCCTGCTCTCTAGCAATGTTCTGTTGTCTGCTTTCGTCTCCACTTTCTGCCCCCCCCACCCCCTCACCGCCCCCCTCCTCCTCTGGGCTTCTGACTCTTTATGCAGCCTTTCTACTACTACTCCTGGGCTCCCTCACTCTTACTGTTGTCTTTCAGCCATATCCCTGATCTTCTGGTAGAAAAGATCTACACATAGTCTTCTCGAACAAGGGCGATTAATCTCGGAGGTCTCGAGTGCAAGTTGCGCACGTTAAAGATCCCTTGGTGGTCTCAAATCGGTAAGAGTAGGCTTCGGCTGCCACCCGGGCAAAATTCAAAATTTCCAACCAACTGAAAATATCTAATGTGTCCCGTGCGCTCATTAGACCGTATGCAGTTGCGAGCGCCGTAAAACACTCACTAAAAACGAAAACCAACAACAACAACAACAACAAAAAAGATTTTGCTATTAATGAGGAGAAATTTAGATGCTGTTTTCAACATGATAGCGATGCTGTTACAGAGAGCCATAGAGTATTTTCTTTAGGTCATTTGCTCTGAGAACGTACTGGATTTTCATACGCCATGTACTCAGCATTTACCCATCTATGTTCGTAGATGCAAGGTCATTCATAATCTGAAACAAAACTTGAATTTTCGTCTTGGGAAAAAAGAAAACTAAAATAAAAAATAAACAAACAAACAAAATGGTTGGTTCTCAAGGAGTTGGGAAGTAAACGAGTGAGTTGAAAAATGTATTGTGGGAGGCCAGTGCGCTAGTATGTTTCTTTTAGACTAATTTTAAACATGGATAGGTTGCAATAAATTGCAGTTGTTTTTCGTTCTTAAATATTGAAGTTTCAGAAGATGTCCCCACTCTTTAGACTCCCCCCCCCCCATCTCCAAATATGGGATAAGAGAAGATGAGGGGCTTTTGTTGTGTGTGTGTTGTTTTTTTTTGGGGGGGTATTCTAATACATAGATAATATCGACTCACTGACTATTTGAACACACTTGGTGTGCAATCCCTCTACTAAGTTTGAGTCTGACAGAGGAATAACTCAGATGGACATTCATGCTGAGGTTGGCTTTGGTTATTGTCTGCGCTTCTTCCTTCTTTCTTTCTATCTTTTTTTTAAAAATCATCGAGCTAAATTCTCTGTCTTCGAAATGTTGTACTTACACTAAATAGATCTACGTTGTTAAACTAATTTTTAATTCAACAAACACAGTGTCCATTCTTTAGTTTTTAAGAACTTGCTGCTTGGTGGAAGACGGCTTTTGTCGCTAACTCTCAAATAAAAAAGAGGTTTCCCAGGCAGCAAAAGACGAAAATTTGTCCGAGCCAAAGCTGCAGATCAAAAAAGAAAAAAAAAAAAGAACCAAAATATTGGTGAAATAAAACGAAGGTAATAAAAGAGTGCAAACACCGTAAGGCAGTCAGGAAAAACAACCCCAAACAAAATAATTGCTACGCTGTGCTCGAATAGAAACAACGTAGCTCGTATGCAAAGGTAAATATGCAATAAATTATGTTTTAAAAAAGTAATATCATTCACCGTACTTCTTTCTTCCACTATACACTATACACAAAAATAGTAATAATATTACGCATGCGCGCTTTGGAGACGCGACAGGACGAACTCACATTCATTTGTGTCGCAACGTAGTGGAATCAGGCGCTCGTCAATTTTTGGGCATATATTAAGGAGTTATATACACATTTTATATATCAGTTTCATCTTAAAGTTTATTTTTTATTTGTCTTGATTTTGATGAGAAAAAAAAATCCATCTTGAATAAAAGTCTCCTAGTGTCAGGCAGAATCAGCAAGAAAATAGTCGCTAAAGTTTAGTGACTTCCCAAGCTTGAGTCGCTTTTGAAATAAACGCAATAAACTTACTTTTTGTTTTTAGTAAAATCCACACAGAAATGTGTTTTAAAATGGAAAGTTGTTGAGGTAAAAAAAATTGACAAAAATACCAACCGGGTGGAAAATGTCGGTGTTTCCAATTTCATTATCTTGACGAGAGCCTGATTTCACCACGATGCCTCACATTTATTTCGATTTATGGCATGAACATAATGTAATGTAAATGGAAGCGCAATATTGAGCCACTGTGACTGTGGTTGATCAAACGTTCAGCAGCATGCAGGAGAAACTTGACTAGAAGTGATCAGTTGTGATCTGTTCAAGATTTAAAAAAAAATAATGTGTTGAAAATTGTGAAGGAGGTGAGTAGGCTATATGAATATGACGTAATAATTATCATATTATGATCAATGTCAGCAGAAAAAAAAATCCGAGGTCCATGCAGACGTTGCGGCTTCTCTAAGGAAGGACATGGGTCATTTCAGATATTATTTTGAACCCCAATTGACACAGTTTAGATAAATCAGGAGGCGGGCTGCTTCTACTCAGCCCATCAACGCCAGTCTGTGTTGAGCGGGATGTGGTGTTCCACAAGGAAGACGGAGATACTGGATCAAACAGACTTCCCTATGTTGGAATCGAAATCATGTTTTGTACGGGCGATGACGAGAGCTTGAATATTTCTCACCACATACGCAGGTAAGAGCACGCTCGCCCACGAGTGCATTTGCAATTAAATAGTTGTAGCATGGCATTGATGCATAAATACAACAGTTGAGACTGCTCTATTGACCACCAGTATAAAACAGTCACCTGTACAAACGCCAATTTCCCTTTCCTCCCTTGCGCGTTTTAGCGTATATATTATCACGACACTATGCGAGACTGTCACCTGTCTAAGCTGGGCCTTTTCTTCAAGATAATGGGCGACCGTTTTAGACAATTTCAACAGTACTTTGGCGAGTCTTCTGTGCCTCCTCACAGCCCTTGATCCTTCGTCTGTTGTCCTACATTCGTCACGACGACCTGTTTGTGTCAGATTAGGCTTGGCCTAAAACTAGTGAATTTCGCACTAAGAAAAATCTAACTGATAAACAGGAAATGGGCAAGATACAATCAAGGGCATCAACTATGCAGTTGAAAATGGTCGAATATATACGTACGGTATATCAACAGATTAATTTACTGAACACGGCACACATGACGTTGTTCGGTGCTATTTCTGTAGCAACGCGGTGAAGAGTGTTCATCAAATATTCATGATAATTTATTCACTACCCTGATACAGTTGTGGTCAAGAAATGAGTTGTCCCGACGACTTTAAAGTGACAGGGTAATGATGTATCCCCTGTATTCTTATTCCACACAACACAGCGACTAAAACCATCTCGGGCCTTCCACGACAAATTCTGTCTGTTTCCAAACTCTGAAGAACAAGGGTCATGATTGATGAATATTGAATGAGCTTGACTTTGGTTCTACGTTGACTGACTTCAAACAGCACGTAATCTAAGCCCGCATAAGTAGAGTATGTCGGGGTACGCATTATTGATACTTCTCCAGCTATTGTGAGGGTTTGGCCACGTTGTACACTACCATAAAAACGCCTACGGTCGGAAAAAGAGGGTAGAATGCGGCAAATGGCTCTATAAAACAACTTGAGGCGAACAACTCTGTCATTGTGTCCACAACGCCGACGAACTGGACAGGCGTAAAGTAACAGGGGGTTGAGCCTGCCTCATTGTCTCTTCCTCAGTGTCGACGGAGATGATGTAAAAATATTATGATTTATTTTTGCGTTTTCTTTTCTATGTAGGTGTTTAATACCTCCCTCCACCCCCCCCCACACCCACACAAAATCGATACAGTTTAGATTATTTAAGAGGTGGACAACGACCCTGTCTGCCCGGGCCAAACCCACGGCGACAGGGATACAACATCCCAGCAGAAAGACCGAGACACTCCATACAAATTCTCCCCCCACACCCGCCTATCAAAATGTAAAAACAAAATAAATCGGGAATCAAGTATGGATGTCCTGCGTGCAACGGCAGAGTGGCTAACCGCCACACTATAGAATCTGATGCCGATTTACGTTTTCTAATCGAAGAGAAAGTCAGTGTGGACAAAAGATCGCATCTCTATTCCGGAGAGAGTGTGGCGATCGAAGGAGCCAGGCCTTACCAGCAGGAGAGCTATGCGCCTTGTTGATAGCAGGACAACACACTGTGTAAACCACGCCCGCTGGAGGTTTGTTCATGAGTCTGAGTCAGCATGGCCCCCCTCCATGACCATCCAGCCTTTTCTCAGAACCTCCTCAGCTGCTCCCATCTCTCACCGATCTTCCTAAGAACAAGCCCATAGCCCCCCCCCCCCCGATCTGGCTTACTTTGTCGGCTCCGCCCAGACAGAGGCTTTCATTCCTCCGGGAACTCTAAGTGCTTGGTAATCGGGCTTATGAGCAGCAAGAACACTGTGGTCATGAACGTGATAGCGACGAAAAGCCAGAAAAAGAACTTGTCCAACACCCGTGCCACCTCCTGCCATTCCAACACAGCCGTTCTCTCCCCGTGACCGCGGTCGTATGCTTCCAGCACCGACTTGAGGTAGTACAAAATCTGGCCTTCCATCAAGCTACGCGTGCTGTTTAACCGCCCCCGCCCTGAATTCGTCGTTCGGTGGGCGGAGCCAGCCGCCACCGAGCCATTACAGCTCCTCCCACTATTGTCTGCCTCGTCTATGATAGGTTGCGAGGTCATGTCGTGTAACGATGATGTAGGCGTTATTTGGGTAGAATTCCTTGAATTGTTGGACAGCGTGCTTTGGTAATGAATGCCGCTGCTCTGCTGAGGGGGCGGGGTGAAGTGTGGGTCGTCTATGAGCGTCTGTCTGTCGGAAGCCCCGAAGGAGTGAGTGTTATTAACGTTGACGCTTTTGTTGAGGTACAGCAGCCTCATGCAGAACATTTTGGCCACGGCGATTGACATGCCGCGGACCAGCCGTGGCGGGCGGTGCATGGAGGTGCCTCGATGGTGGCAGTTGAGCACGAAGACAGACAGCGCCACCGACAGCGCTGACATGGCCATGATGACGGTAAGGTAGATACCTGTGGACAGACACGGGGACAGGTTTTATTGTTGTATCACAACGCGGTGGAATAAGGCGCTCGTCATTTTTGGGGCATATACAGTTATTGACAGCGTCTGAAAACTTATTCGCTTGTCTTTCTTTGGGTGAAAAAATACCCCTCTATCTTGAAAAGATGTCGAGATGCTTGAGATTTAAATAGGTGGGGGCCGCCTGGTTTAAGAGGTAAAATTAGAGAAAAAATGCCTGTCAAAGTTTGGTGACTTCCAATCCGGTAATGTCCTATCCTAAGAAGCTGTAAATTTACATTTTTTTTTAGCCTTTTATCATCAACATTTTGCAGTAAAATCAACATAAAAATGTGTAAATGGACATGAAAGGTGTTAGTACCAAAAAAATAATAAAAAAAAAGAAAGAAAAAAGAACATTCGGAAAAAATTGGCAAACTTTGCAGAAAAATGTACCTTTCTTTGATTTCACTATTTTGACGAGTGCCTGATTTCACTCGTAATGTTAACTCTTAATATACGGAAGGCTACTCCACCTTAGTACTCAGCCAACTTTGTGATCCAGTTTTTCAACATCCCAAACTTGCCTATGACTTTGCTCCTATTTAAACTGCAAGCAATAAATAAACACCGAACTGGATAGAAATGAATGCTATAGGCAAAAAAAGCACATTTTGATTAGATAGATGGATCTGGTGCACTGTTGTAGATATTTTTATGATAATAAACTACCGAGTTACGAAATGTTTCAGATAAACTGGCGCGCCGTACACAGGGGGTTAAGATATAATACGTTTACCGTTGCGCCGCTTTATTAGTCTTTTAATTTTCTGCGTCCCAAATGACACATAAAACATTCATCACTGCTGTCCTGTCGCAAAGGGGTACAAGCAAGCAAATTGTGTGTGTCTGTGTGTATGTGTGTGTGTGTGTGTGTGTGTGTGTGTGTGTGTGTGTGTGTGTGTGTGT